AGGGTTTCTGGGATAATGCTGTTGATGTGAGCCATGACCAGCCTTTCAAAGCACTTCATGGCTACAGACGTCAGTGCTACGGGTCGGTAGTCATTTAGGCAGGTTATCTTAGAGTCATTGGGCACGGGGACTATGGTGGTCTGCTTCAAACATGTTGGTATTACAGACTCAGTCAGGGACATGTTGAAAATGTCAGTGAAGACACTTGCCAGTTGGTCAGCACATGCTCGGAGTACACGTCCTGGTAATCCGTCTGGCCCTGCGGCCTTGTGAATGTTGACCTGCTTAAAAGTCTTACTCACATCGGCTACGGAGAGCGTGATCACATAGTCATCCGGAACAGCTGGTGCTCTCATGCATGTTGCTTGCCTCGAAGTGAGCATAGAAGTGGTTTAGCTCGTCTGGTAGGCTTGTGTCACTGGGCAGCTCGCGGCTGTGCTTCCCTTTGTAGTCTGTAATAGTTTTCAAGCCCTGCCACATCCGACGAGCGTCAGAGCCAGTGTAGTACGATTCAATCTTAGTCCTGTATTGACTCTTTGCCTGTTTGATGGTTCGTCTGAGGTCATAGCGGGATTTCTTATAAGCGTCCGGGTTAGAGCCCCGTTCCTTGAAAGCGGCAGCTCTACCCTTTAGCTCAGTGCGGATGTTTCCTGTAATCCATGGCTTCTGGTTGGGGTGTGTCCTCCTCCCAGAGTGCGAAGAGCCTTGGCGTGACCCTGGACAACACCCTGTCGTTCTCCGCTAACATCAAGGCGGTGACCCGATCCTGCAGGTTCATGCTCTACAACATTCGGAGAGTACGACCCTGCCTTACACAGGAAGCGGCACAGGTCCTAATCCAGGCACTTGTCATCTCCCGTCTGGATTACTGCAACTCGCTGTTGGCTGGCCTCCCTGCCTGTGCCATTAAACCCCTACAACTCATCCAGAATGCCGCAGCCCGTCTGGTGTTCAACCTTCCCAAGTTCTCTCACGTCACCCCCCTCCTCCGCACACTCCACTAACTTCCAGTTGAAGCTCGCATCCGTTACAAGACCATGGTGCTTGCCTATGGAGCAGTGAGGGGAACGGCACCTCCGTACCTTCGGGCTCTGATCAGTCCCTACACCCAAACGAGGGCATTGCGTTCATCCACCTCTGGCCTGCTGGCTCCCCTTCCTCTGCGGAAGCATAGTTCCCGCTCAGCCCAGTCAAAACTGTTCGCTGTTCTGGCACCCCAATGGTGGAACAAGCTCCCTCACGACGCCAGGACAGCGGAGTCACTCACCACCTTCCGGAGACATTTGAAACCCCACCTCTTTAAGGAATACCTGGGATAGGATAAAGTAATCCTTCTACCCCCCCCCCAAAAAAAATAAAATAAAAAAAAGTGTAAAGTGGTTTTCCCACTGGCTATAGGGTGAATGCACCAATTTGTAAGTCGCTCTGGATAAGAGCGTCTGCTAAATGACGTAAATGTGCCCTTGAGCAAGGCACTTAACCCTAATTGCTCCTGTAAGTCGCTCTGGATAAGAGCGTCTGCTAAATGACTAAAATGTAAATGTAAATGTAATGTATGTACGTACGGTCACTGTGGGGACGACATCATCGATGCACTTATTGATGAAGCCAGTGACTGATGTGGTGTACTCCTCAATGCTGTCTGAAGAATCCCGGAACATGTTCCAGTCTGTGCTAGCAAAACAGTCCTGTAGCTTAGCATCTGCGTCATCTGACCACTTTTTTATTAACCGAGTCACTGGTGCTTCCTGCTTTAGTTTTTGCTTATAAGCAGGAATCAGGAGGATAGAGTTATGGTCAGATTTGCCAAATGGAGGGCGAGGGAGAGCTTTGTATGCGTCTCTGTGTGTGGAGTAAAGGTGGTCTAGAGTTTTTTTCCCTCTGGTTGCACATTTAACATGCTGGTAGAAATTAGGTAGAACGGATTTAAGTTTCCCTGCATTAAAGTCCCCGGCCACTAGGAGCGCTGCATCTGGATGAGCGTTTTCCTGTTGATTAATGGCCTTGTACAACTCATTCAGTGCAATCTTAATGCCAGCATTGGTTTGTGGTGGTAAATAGACAGCTATGAAAAATATAGATGAAAACTCTCTTGGTAAATAGTGTGGTCTACAGCTTATCATAAGATACTCTACCTCAGGCGAGCAAAACCTCGAGACTTCAGCAAAACCTCGAGACTAAGGTTTCAGTTTGACGTGGAGGCATATTTTATGTGGTTGAAATGCTATCAGCTTTTATGATGCACATTTACAGACGGTCCCTTACCTCGCATTTATTCTCTCAAGATGCTGAAATAAATACATCATATTTCTCCACTCCTGTTCCCTAGTCAAAATGTACATTGTGTATAATTTTACTGTAAGAAATGCTTGAATCTGCAGGAGTTCATATTATAATAAGCTATGTGGGAGGTTATATACCTACAATCAGTGTCCAGATTTCAGTTGCTATTCCATTTAACCCATCTAAACAGTACAGTTCCCTTAGATGTGCATATTTGAAGTCCCCGTCTTGTGACTGTCGAATTTGTATAGCGCCTCACAATCATCACACCTAACATAGCCGGCACTGCTATCATCCTCTTTTACAACTTCACCAAATCTTTCCCAAACATGACTTTTCTGTCCCTCCCTTCTCTTTATTTTCAACTCTCCATTTTGCAGCTTTTCTCTTATTGAATTCAACGCCGACATTGTCCTTTTTGCCTCAGTGGATCGACGTTAACTTTTTCTGCTTAAGTTCCCAAAAGCATTTAGCGATTGGCGTGTATTTGGCACGTGTACAGTTAGCCCCTAAAGCTTAGGCTTACACACTAATTCCCACGGGGGCCAGTATAAAAAAAAAAAAATGTATTCACTAACTGTAAGTCGCTCTGGATAAGAGCGTCTGCTAAATGACTAAAATGTAAATGTAAATGTAAATGACAGATAAAAAGAATGTAAGAAAAACCTCAATGTAGCCTATAGATATGAATTGCACAAGAATGATACATTTATAGATTTTTAATGCATTGTTTTCTCTTTATTCAACCAACCGCCACCCACCCGCCCTTCATCCACACAATATTTCATGACCCAAAAACCCGCTCGCCCTATGGATATATCCGCGGGGACTGTGGGTTATGAGTCAACCTGCGCATCACTATTGTGTGTTACTACAGTATGTTTGTGCCTCTGTAAGGTTTCCTTTAGTTTCAGCAAATAAAATATTTGTTATAGGCGATTAGTCCTGACAGCTGTCAATCTAACATACTGTGTTGTGATTGGTTGCAGTGGCAGAGCAGGGTGGCCCAGAGTCACCAGACTCCACCCCCCGAGAGACACCCACACCCAATGAGGAGAACACCATGGTAGGATACACACACTGGCATACCGGACACCCCCGCAGTGTTAGTTTAGAAAACGATCTCTCCACAGAAGCGACAGTTACAGGAATGTAAAAGCAGCTTGATTGCCGTAGCAACATCAGGGAAACTAGGCAGAAGGGAGTTGTGCTTCAAATACACCAGTTCTGCAACATCTTTTTAATTGAGCCTCTCATTCTCCTTTAATTGCAGAGATTTAACTGTATAGAGAGCTCTCGGGACAGGTCGTATGGATACTGGACAGCCAATAAATTGGCAGATGCAAACAGATGATCATATTTAGTTCTTGAGGGCTTGTCTGGTTTGGCAATACTCGGTATAGAAACAGTCGGGCATTGTTACACCATGTATAACTTAGTGAAATGTTAGGCTTAACATGAGAAAATGACACACAAATAGGCCTACCAATAAACATTTATCCATTAGCTAAAGCAAAGCTATACATGCCCTGGCACCACATTATATTTGTTTTATGGGGGGAGTGGACAAACTCTGACATTGCGGGGGTCCAGAGAAACTGTGTTATGCCAGTGTGCGCACACACTCACACACAGTAGAGGAGATGGGCGAGAGGGGCGAGAGGGGCGAGAGGGGAGAGAGGGGCGAGAGGGGCGAGAGGGGAGAGAGGGGCGAGAGGGGCGAGAGGGGCGAGAGGGGCGAGAGGGGAGAGAGGGGCGAGAGAGGGGCGAGAGGGGAGAGAGGGGCGAGAGGGGAGAAGAGGGGAGGAGCGGACAGGAAAGTAGAAAAGCATATATACAAAATAAACCTCCATCATGTGTGTGCGTGCGTGTTTACTTGGCTGTTCTCTGTTTGAGTGAGGAAGTAGAAGAGGGGAGACGGGACTTTGGGTTGTGGCTCGGATAGAGTGTTATCAGTGGTGTTTTCTTTGTAAACAATGGTTTGCGGGAAGGTGTGTGTGTGTGTGTGTGTGTGTGTGTGTGTGTGTGTGTGTGTGTGTGTGGTGGCGGCACCGTGGGATAGTTTCACTCGCGGGAAGTACCCTGCTCACAGCCAATACACACACACACACACACACACAAATGTAAATAAACAGTCCACTTTGCCCTACTGATGATACCATCATATTACCGCCAGTACCCAAGGGACCTCCTCCATCCCAAATATAACCTGCCCCTACAACAACAGAGTATCGCTAAGAACACCGGGAGGAGAGGAGGAGAATAATGGGGGGAGGAGAAGAACGTTTATTCTATTCTGTCTTTCTCTTCACACTCTCCAATCAACTCTACTCCTACCCTATCCTCTCATTTTCCTTGTCCCCCCCCCCCCCTTTCTCCTCCACACACCCACACTGGCCCATCGAAGTCCACCCCGCCAGACGCAGTGTTTCTAAAGCCAGGAGGAGATGGCACTACGTTTCTGAAGAACAGACAGACAGAGAGAGGGACTGGGATTATTTCGAGTTATTTATTTATCTTTCTCTGTGATTTACAGACAGAGACCCTGAGACAGACAGAAAGACTAGCTGATAGACCGTGAGAGTGGGGTAGATTTGATCCAATAGTTATTTTGGGGTGTTACCTACCCTTATATTTAACCTCTAACCCTGTGACCTGATGATGTTGTTGGGCTGTGGACTAAGCTACCTGTTCTCTCTGCCCCACTCCTTACAGCTGGGGGGGGGGGGTTCGCTCCGTGGCAACGTGGGGAGTGTGTGTGTGCGGCCGGACAGTGTGTGTGGCCGCGAGGAGCTGACCAGACTAGAGCTGGTCCAGAGACTGGCTAAGGACGGCTGCAGACTGCTACAGAACCAGAACTACAGAGTACCAGACCACCGCAACCCCACTGTGAGTACACACGCACACACACCCTCTGACAAATATACTTTTGAATACTATATTTTGTGATAGTATGCTCTAACTTCGTCAGTGTTTCAAAATGTGTATTTGACGGATGTGTTGGTCCCTTCATTTCCTTTCCTCCCCTCTGCTTACGTCAGCCAGTTATCTGTGAGAAGCTGGAACATTCTGTCTCTCTAGTATAACATTCTGTCTCTAGGACAGTGCATTCGGAAAGTATTCAGACCCCTTGACTTTTCCCACATTTTGTTACGTTACAGCCTTATTCTAAAATGTTTTTTTAAATGTCCTCATCAATCTACACATTATACATTTACATTTACGTTTACGTCATTTAGCAGACGCTCTTATCCAGAGCGACTTACAATAGAAGTATTCAGACCCTTTACTCAGTACTTTGTTGAAGCACCTTTAGCAGCGATTAGAGCCTCAAGTCTTCTTGGCACACCTGTATTTGGGAGTTTCTCCCATTCTTCTCTGCAGATCCTCTCAAGCTCTGTCAGGTTGGATGGGGAGCGTCGCTGCACAGCTATTTTCAGGTCTCTCCAGAGATGTTCGATCGGGTTCAAGTCCGGGCTCTGGATGGCCCACTCAAGGACATTCAGAGACTTGTCTCAAAGCCACTCCTGCGTTGTCTTGGCTGTGTGCTTAGGGTCGTTGTCCTGTTGGAAGGTGAACCTTCGCCCCAGTCTGAGGTCCTGAGCGCTCTGGAGCAGGTTTTCATCAAGGATCTCTCTGTACTTTGCTCCGTTCATCTTTCCCTCGATCGTGACTAGTCTCCCAGTCCCTGCCGCTGAAATACATCCCCACAGAATGATGCTACCACCACCATGCTTTCAGACGTTCTGCTTGGCATTCAGGCCAAAGAGTTCAATCTTGGTTTCATCAGACCAGAGAATCTTGTTTCTCGTGGTCTGAGAGTACTTTAGGTGCCTTTTGGCAAACTCCAAGCGGGCTGTCATGTGCCTTTTACTGAGGAGTGGCTTCCGTCTGGCCACTACCATAAAGGCCTGATTGGTGGAGTGCTGCAGAGATGGTTGTCCTTCTGGTAGGTTCTCCCATCTCCACAGAGGAACTCTGGAGCTCTGTCTGAGTGACCATCGGGTTCTTGGTCACCTCCCTGACCAAGGCCTTTCTCCCCCGATTGCTCAGTTTGGCCAGGCGGCCAGCTCTAGGAAGAGTCTAGGTGGTTCCAAACTTATTCCATTTAAGAATGATGGAGGCCACTGTGTTCTTGGGGACCTTCAATGCTGCAGACATTTTTTGGTACCTTTCCCCAGATCTGTGCCTCGGCACAATCTTGTTTCGGAGCTCTACGGACAATTCCTTCGACCTCATGACTTGGTTTTTGCTCTGACATGCACTGTCAACTGTAGGACCTTATATAGACAGGTGTGTGCCTTTCCAAATCATGTCCAATCAATTGAATTTACCACAGGTGGATTCCAATCAAGTTGTAGAAACATCAAGGATGATCAATGGAAACAGGATGCACCTGAGCTCAATGTCGAGTCTCATAGCAAAGCGTCTGAATACTTATGTTATTTGTATTTTTTTTTTATACATTTGCAAACATTTCTAAAAACCTGTTTTTGCTTTGTCATTATGGGGTATTGTGTGTGTGTGTGGTGTGTAGGTTGATGAGGAACATAATTTAATCAATTTTATAATAAGGCTTTAACGTAACAAAATGTGGAAAAAGTCAAGGGGTCTAAATACTTTCCAAATGCACTGTAACATTCGGTCTCTTGTATACAAACTTATGCCTCTAGTATATCACATTCTGTCTCTCTAGTAAATAACATTCAGACCATTCCTTTACTTTCAGGCCATCAAATGTCCAAACTCTGTTTTCTCTTACATCGCTAGCATACTTCCTCAAACTAAATGGATATTGTTTTGCCTGTGTACGTGTGTATGTGTTAACGTTAGATAAACTGTTTGTTATCAGGAACATCGTAGACATTTTTCCCCATGTCCTCTAGGGCACTGTTGGTTAAACGAGGGGGAGGGGTGGGGAGAGAGGACAGGGGAGGGGAGGGGTGGGAGGGGAGAGAGAGGACAGGGGAGGGGGAGGGGAGAGAGGAAAGGGGAGGGGTGGGGGGAGAGAGGAAATGGGATGGGTGGGGGAGAGAGAGAGGAAAGGGGAGGGGGGGGAGAGAGAGAGGAAGGGGAGGGGTGGGGAGGAGAAGAGGAACGAGAGGACGGGAGGGGTGGGGGAGAGCGAAAGGACAGGGGAGGGGTGGGGGAGAGAGAGAGGACAGGGGAGGGGTGGGGGGGAGAGAGGATGGGGGGGAGGGTTTGTGATGGTGGGGAGAGAGGACAGGGATGGTGGTGGGGGGAGAGAGAGGACAGGGGCGTCGGGGATGGGGACCGGGAGGAGGAAGGGAGGGGTTGGGAGAGAGGACAGGGGAGGGGTGGGGAGGAGAGGACAGGGGCAGACGAGAGAGGAATGGGAGGAGAGGAGAGGACTGGGAGGGGTGGGGGAGAGGGGGAGGGTGGGGGGGAGAGGGGGAGGGGGGGGGAGAGAGAGGGAACAGGGAGGGGTGGGGGAGAGAGAGAGGGGGAAAGGAAGGGGAGGGAGGAAGAGAGGGAGTTGGGGGGAGAGAGAGGGAAGGGAGGGTGGGGAGAGAGAGGCGGGATGGGTGGGGGGAGGAGAGGGACTGGGGAGGGGTGGGGGAGAGAGGACAGGACAGGGGAGGGGTGGGGGGGAGAGAGAGGACAGGGGAGGGGAGGGGTGGGGGGAGAGAGAGGACAGGATAGGGGGGGGAGAGAGAGGACAGGGGAGGGGAGGGGTGGGGGGAGAGAGGGGAGGGGAGGGGGGGGGGGGAGAGAGGACAGGGGAGGGGTGGGGGAGAGAGGAAATGGGAGTGGGGTGGGGTGGGGGAGAGAGAGGACAGGGGAGGGGTGGGGGGGGGGGAGAGAGAGGACAGGGGTGGGGTGGGGGGGGAGAGGAGAGAGGACAGGGGGGGAGGAGAGAGGTCAAAAGATGCGTTTTTGATACAGCATGTCAGATTTCTAATGTTTAGGTGTAGCCTAGGTTGCTGCAACATTTATGTCATGAGTTTTTGCTTGTGTCTGTCCGGAGTGATTATGTGTTATCATCTTTGCTAAATAAATACTGGAGGAAAGTGGAAAGCCTACTTGAGCGCACGCTTTTAATGGATGACGTGATGGAAGCTATCAAATCATTTGGAATTGGTTTCGACATCCCAGAAAAGACAGTCAAAAGTTCGATATGTTCAGCAAGTAAAGCATCGTAACCTGCAATTACCTCTGAAAGCTCTTTGCAGTTGCCCTTGTTGGCGGAAATTTCCCTCTCTTCGTGTCCTCTAAAAGCAAGTGCTTGCATACCCCAAAACGCAGTGGTGTTGATAAGCAGCTTGAGAACATCCCTGTTTCTTCTTACTTTCTCGTTGTGTTGCGCAGTTTGAATACGCAGACCTTCATCATAATCAATGCAGCTTTTTCACAGAAGCTTGATCTGATGTGGGCATTTATATGCTCCCTGCTTTTGGCAAGGGCAACAATACAGGCGGCTTGATGAAAGGCTCCCTGTTAACCAGCTATACTGTTGATACCAGTTGGTATTGAACGCCCTCACTTTTTCATCCTTCTTCATGAAACTGATCTCAGGCAGAGGTCGACCCTCACTTTTAATTCGCACCTATTCCGTGTACCCCAGAGAATGAAAGGGGTTCTTCAACAAAAAGTCCACAACATTTTCGGCAGCGTTGGCCATTCTACCATTCTGGGGGAGAAAACTGCACACTCGAGCTGGTAACGTTAGCTAGCTAGCTACTGAAGTTAGCAAGGCAAATGTAAATAAATTGCACTAACTGGACACAAAAATAAAGTTATAAAACCAAGAAAACAATTTATAATATACCTCCTCTGTGTCCTGTAATTTGAAAAAAACTAATTTGAATGGAATAATATCCCAAAAATGCTCAACTATCACTCTTCACTCTTAATCTCTATCCAACAATGTCACCAAGCTTCTCAACACATAGAACCCCCATAATGCTCTGTGGCACAATCCCAATACAACACCCTAGGTTCATTCTCTGATCCGAATTCTATGATTGGATGGACAACGTGGGTTCATACTGCAAAAGCTTTGATTGGTTGGAGGACGTCCCCCGGAGTTGGTCATAATTACCATGTATGTCTATGGAAGGGGGTGAGGCCTACGAGCCTCCTAGGTTTGTATTGAAGTCAATGTAGCCAGAGGATGACGGAAGCTAGCTGTCCTCCGGCTACACCATGGTGCTACCCCAGACAGTTCTGTTGAAGTTACTGTAGACCTTCATTGCAAAACAGTGTATTTTAATCAATTATTTGGTGACATATGAATATATTTAGTATAGTATCTAAAAAATTTAACTTTTTAAATGTTTCACTATTTTTATTTTTAATGAAATTTCACTGAGGAAGATGGTTCCCTTCTTCCTCCTCTGAGGAGCCTCCACTGTTCTGCATACAATACCAATGTACAATTCTTCTCTCTATCGCTCTCTCGCTCTCAGGGAGAGGCAGTAGGGAGGGTGTGTCTTAAGGAAAGGGGTCAGGACGTCCTTGTGCTACAGAGAGTGCCATCATCAGTGCCATCACCTAACCCCGCCTCTTCGCCATCAGGGGGAGGGGCCAGAGCGGAGGACGGAGAGAAGAGGTCAGTATCCTTCTCTTTCACTTTCAATCTCTCTCTTTGTAGGCGTTGCTGGAATATACGAGTGAATCATCTCCCGAGTGGCGCAGTGGTCTAAGGCACTGCATCGTAGTGCTAGCTGTGCCACTAGAGATCCTGGTTCGAATCCAGGCTCTGTCGTAGGCGACCGGGAGACCCATGGGGCGGCGCACAATTGGCCCAGCGTCGTCCAGGTTAGGGGAGGGAATGGCTGGCAGGGATGTAGCTCAGTTGGTAGAGCATGGCGTTTGCAACGCCAGGGTTGTGTGTTCGATTCCCACGGGGGGCTAGTATGAAAAAAAATTAAACAATAAAAAAATTATGTATGCACTCACTAACTGTAAGTCGCTCTGGATAAGAGCGTCTGCTAAATGACTTAAATGTAAATGTAATCATATACAGTGCATTTGGAAAGTATTCAGACACATTGACTTTTTCCACATTTTGTTACGTTACAGCCTTATTCTAAAATGGATTAAATTATGTTTTCCCCTCATCAATCTACACACAATACCCCATAATGGCAAAACGAAAACAGGTTTTAAGACATTTTTGCAAATGTATTACAAATAAAAAAACTGAAATACCTTACTTACATAAGTATTCAGAAAGATGAACGGAGCAAAGTACAGAGAGAAAACCTGCTCCCAAGCACTCAGGACCTCAGACTGGGGGTTCACCTTCCAACAGGACAACGACCCTAAGCACACAGCCAAGACAACGCAGGAGTGGTTTCGGGACAAGTCTCTGAATCTCCTTGAGTGGTCCAGGTAGAGCCCAGACTTGAACGTGATCGAACATCTCTGGAGATACCTGAAAATAGCTGTGCAGCGACGCTCCCCATCCAACCTGACAGAGCTTGAGAGGATCTGCAAAAAAGAATGGGAGAAACTCCCCAAATACAGGTGTGCCAAGCTTGTTGTGTCATACCCAAGAAGACTTGAGGCTGTAATCGCTGCCAAAGGTGCTTCAACAAAGTACTGAGTAACGGGTCTGAATACTTATGCAAATGTCTTATTTCAGTTTTTAATTTTTATAAATTAGCTAAAATTTCTAAAAACCTGTTTTTGCTTTGTCATTGTGGGGTATTGTGTGTAGATTAATGAGGGGGGAAAAACAATTTAATCCAATTTAGAATAAAGCTGTAACATAACAAAATGAGGAAAAAGTCAAGGGGTCTGAATACTTTCCGAATGCACTGTAAATGTTATATATGTCCCATAAAGACCTAAAACGGTATGCTGTGTATGTCCCAGACAGACCTAAAACGGTATGCTGTGTATGTCCCTTAAAGACCTAAAACAGTATGCTGTGTATGTCCCAGACAGACCTGTTCCATGTCAAGAAAAATATTGTATATTCTCCCTTTCCCTCTGTCTTAAGTCACACCCTTTGCATGCCTGCACGCACACCAGCTTCTGCCCTGACAAGACAGATTGTGTGTGTGTTTGCTTCCTAGAGGATGTGTGTGTGCTAACTGTTAAGACAGAGAATGTGTGTGTTCTAGCTGCAAGCAGAAAGAGAGAGGGAGAGAGAGAGAGAGAGAGAGAGAGAGAATGGTTTTCTTGTCTTGAAGGGAGAAACGAAGCAAAAGAAAGCAAGACTGTTTGCTGCCTAGAGGGTGTGTTTACACTTTCTAAATGGTGTGTGTGTGTGTGTGTGTGTGTGTGTGTGTCTCTGGTGTTAGGCAGGGAGAGGGGAGGCCTCAGTACATCCCCTTTTGGGGTAGAGCTACTATAGATCCTCTATATCTGTGGAGCTCCAGGCAGGCAGGGGGAGTAGGCTGGCTCTTCAGCCCAGGACAGAGCATCCTGGCCGGGCATGTTACGCTAGGGAGAGTGAAGCCTCTGGAGGAATTGAGATGGACTTGAGAACTGCCACACTAGTGGAGGCAGAGGAAGATGAAGAGGGTGGTGATGATGATGAAGATGACTGTTGTAGTAGTTCTGTCCCGACCTTTAACGTCCCTTACCTGCGCTACATTGATGATGAGGATGAGGATGACTGGAGTAGTCTACCTTACATTGATGAGGATGAGGAGGGAGAGGAGGAGAGGGAAGAGCGAGAAAGGAGAGGTAGCAGCTCTGAGGAATACTACTCCTGCTCTTCCTCCTGTGCTTCTGACAGGTGTGTTGGTATGTGTGTGCGTGTGTGCTTGTTTGTGTGTGTATGTGTAACTCTTCTTTGTGTGTGTCTGTAGGTATGTGGTGGTGTCTGGAACACCCCTGAAGATTCTAGAACACCTGCTCAGTGACCTACGACTGGATGAGCAGAGAGGAGCACCGGAGAGCAGAGTGTCTGGTGAGTACACATGAACGCACGCACACACACATACAGTCTTGTTTAACTAACCTTGTGGGGACACAATTTATAACCATTCCAAATCCTATTTAACCTTAACCCCAAAACCTAACCCTAACTTATAACCGTAACTCCTAGACCTAATTCTAACACTAATTATACCTTAACCCTAAACCCCCAAGAAATAGCATTTTACTTTGTGGGGACTAACAAAATGTCCCGAGTTGGTCAAATTTTGGTTTGTTTACTATTCTTGTGGGGACTTCTGGTCACACATACACACAGCAGATAGTTTGGTGATTGTGGGATCTCCCAAATATCTATACTTGGTCCATTACACTTATTTAAATGTACACTAAATAACTAAATAACTTAACTTGTGTGTTTGTTTGTATGTGTGTTTGTGTGCACCAATCCCTCCCCTGCTCTTAGGAATTTCCCAACATGTTGCAACATAACCACTACTTTAATTTTTTCTTTTTTTCTTTCTTTTTTTCTTTCTTTTTTTCTTTCTTTTCTTTCTTTCTTTCTTTCTTTCTTTCTTTCTTTCTTTCTTTCTTTCTTTTTCTTTCTTTCTTTCTTCTTTCTTTCTTTCTTTCTTTCTTTCTTTCTTTCTTTCTTTCTTTCTTTCTTTCTTTCTTTCTTTCTTTCTTTCTTTCGAATATATTGTACATATTTCAGTGTTGTCTAACTAGCGTGACCTATGGGAAATGCTGACAGAAGACCATCTTGGTTAAAAGAGTCTTCGGCCCTAATGGTCACCAGTCAAAAAGAGAGCTGAATGGGTGGAGGATAGGAGATGGAATGAGTGGGGAGAAAAAGAAAGAGGTGTGAGTGAGAATGCGTGTGTGTTTTAAACAGCAACATGTTTAACAAGCTGAAACAAGCCTAAAGCGAGATTAATCCACAACACTACAATACCAAATTACTAACATTAGTTCTGTGGGCCGGGTGTGTGTGTGTGTGTGTGTAGATGAAGATGAAAGGAGAGTTGTTAACATAGAGAAAATGAAAGCAATTGGAAGGAGGGAGGGGGAGAGAGGTGTGGAGAGAGGGAAAGAGGTAGAAGCCAGCTAAATAGGCTAGTCGTTTAAAGTGGTGTTCTATAAAAAGCTTGCTTTCCTATCTAAACGTCAGATAGCTGGTTAGTTAATTATTCATAGGAACCTTTCTGCTGCTCCATCCACTGCCCTGCGGAACCATTCATTTTTTAGTCACATGTTTCCCATGGACAGAGTTTAACGTTGTGCAGCAAGCTCAGCCTGCACAGATGCACTAATCTTGATAGCATAATGAGTGGCTATTTGGGATGTAAGATGATTTGTAGATCAGTGATTCTGCGCAGCGCCTTGCTCAGGCCGATGGCATTCTCACCCCTTCATGAAACTGCATTGCCAGGGCTTGACCTGTATAATCCACCATTACTTAAACCATTCCATTCCTTCTGAAACCCCACTCTTCAGGGAGAAGGGAAGAGACTATGGCTGGGCGATATATCAAATTAATTAGAAAGTATGTTTTTGCACAATATTCCAAATGCCTGTATCGCAAGAATCAATGTATACTTTTTTATGTCCGCTTCTTCTCATGTTGTCTTTTTGGTCTCGTCTCCTTCGCTCCTCTGTGCTGTGTGCACCTTCCCCTTTACACCAGAGATCTGTATATCAGGACGAGATGCTCATGTCTCTGCCCTAACAATGGGAGTTGTTGTCCCAAAGGCTTGAAGGCAGGCGACAAGCTTAGGTCCAAAATAAGACCATAGAAATGCATAGGGTTTATTTTGAACTGATTTTGGCGAGAGTGAAACCTTGCGCTTTGCCTCTTCCTCTCTGTTTACACACACACACACACACACACACACACACTAAGCCCCTCCCCCGCCACTCACAACAACAAAGCTGAGAGATCACTTCTTCCTCTCTGACAAGAGGTTTCAACTCGCTATTTGCATTTGAGGTTTGGTCCAACAGAATCGGTCATATGGACACAGAAACATATTGAGAAATTATTTTACTGTAATAGAGAAGTTAACCCTTCTAAAAAAAAAAAACCTTTTTATGTCTCAACTGCTCTAATTGCCATCTAGCTCTGTTTTATAGCCGCACCCTCAGAGCATGTGCAGACTAACTAGCTGTTGTGTTTTCGTTATCCTGCTTCAAGATGTCCACTGTCATCCCTGTGCCCAAAAAAGGGAAAGTAACTGAACTGAATGACTTCCATCATCATGAAGGACACCTACAACACCAGGTCAAGAAGATCATCATTGACCTCAGCCACTTGAGCCACGGCCTGTTCTCATGTCAAATCAAATCAATTTTTATTTGTCACATGCGCCGAATACAACAGGTGTAGACCTTATCGTGAAACGCTTACAAGCCCGTAACCAACAATACAGAGTAAGAAAATATTTGCTAAATAAACTTAAGTAAAATAAGTAACAATAAATAAACTAAAGTAAAAAAATAAAAAAGTAACAACAACGAGGCTATATATCAATCAATCAATTTTATTTTATATAGCCCTTCTTACATCAGCTGATATCTCGATGTGCTGTACAGAAACCCAGCCTAAAACCCCAAACAGCTAGTAATGCAGGTGTAGAAGCACGGTGGCTAGGAAAAACTCCCTAGAAAGGCCAAAACCTAGGAAGAAACCTAGAGAGGAACCAGGCTATGAGGGGTGGCCAGTCCTCTTCTGGCTGTGCCGGGTGGAGATTATAACAGAACCATGCCAAGATGTTCAAAAATGTTCATAAGTGACAAGCATGGTCAAATAATAATCAGGAATAAATCTCAGTTGGCTTTTCATAGCCAATCATTAAGAGTTGAAAACAGCAGGTCTGGGACAGGTAGGGGTTCCATAACCGCAGGCAGAACAGTTGAAACTGGAATAGCAGCAAGGCCAGGCGGACTGGGGACAGCAAGGAGTCACCACGGCCGGTAGTCCCGACGTATGGTCCTAGGGCTCAGGTCTCTCAGTTGGCTTTTCATAGCCGATCATTAAGAGTTGAAAACAGCAGGTCTGGGACAGGTAGGGGTTTCGTAACCGCAGGCAGAACAGTTGAAACTGGAATAGCAGCAAGGCCAGGCGGACTGGGGACAGCAAGGTGTCATCATGCCCGGTAGTCCTGACGTATGGTCCTAGGGCTCAGGTTCTCAGAGAGAAAGAGAGAACGAGAGAATTAGAGAGAGCATACTTAAATTCACACAGGACACTGGATAAGACAGGAGAAGTACTCCAGGTATAACCAACTAACCCCAGCCCCCCGACACATAAACTACTGCAGCATAAATACTGGAGGCTGAGACAGGAGCGGTCCGGAGACACTGTGGCCCCATCCGAAGAAACCCCCGGACAGGGCCAAACAGGAAGGATATAACCCCACCCACTCTGCCAAAGCACAGCCCCCGCACCACTAGAGGGATATCCTCAACCACCAACTTACAATCCTGAGACAAGGCCGAGTATAGCCCACAGAGGTCTCCACCACAGCACAAACCAAGGGGGGGCGCCAACCCAGACAGGAAGATCACGTCAGTAACTCAACCCACTCAAGTGACGCACCCCTCCTAGGGACGGCATGAAAGAGCACCAGCAAGCCAGTGACTCAGCCCCTGTAACAGGGTTAGAGGCAGAGAACCCCAGTGGAGAGAGGGGAACCGGCCTGGCAGAGACAGCAAGGGCTGTTCGTTGCTCCAGAGCCTTTCCGTTCACCTTCACACTCCTGGGCCAGACTACACTCAATCATATGACCTACTGAAGAGATAAGTCTTCAGTAAAGACTTAAAGGTTGAGACCGAGTCTGCGTCTCTCACATGGGTAGGCAGACTGTTCCATAAAAATGGAGATCTATAGGAGAAAGCCCTGCCTCCCGCTGTTTGCTTAGAAATTCTAGGGACAATTAGGAGGCCTGCGTCTTGTGACCGTAGCGTACGTATTGGTATGTACGGCAGGACCAACTCGGAAAGATAGGTAGGAGCAAGCCCATGTAACGCTTTATAGGTTAACAGTAAAACCTTGAAATCAGCCCTTGCCTTAACAGGAAGCCAGTGTAGGGAAGCTAGCACTGGAGTAATATGATCAAATTTCTTGGTTCTAGTCAGGATTCTAGCAGCCGTATTTAGCACTAACTGAAGTTTATTTAGTGCTTTATCCGGGTAGCCGGAAAGTAGAGCATTGCAGTAGTCTAACCTAGAAGTAACAAATGCATGGATACATTTTTCTGCATCATTTTTGGACAGAAAATTTCTGATTTTTGCAATGTTACGTAGATACAAGGGGTACCGGTACCGAGTCAATGTGCAGGGGTACGGGTTAGTCGAGGTAATATGTACATGTAGTCAATTTGTAAGTCGCTCTGGATAAGAGCGTCTGCTAAATGACGTAAATGTAAATGTAGGTGGGGGTAAAGTGACTATGCATAGATAATAAACAGCGAGTAGCAGCAGTGTAAAAAAGGGGTCAATACAAATAATCCAGGTAGCCATTTGATTAACTGTTCAGCAGTCTTATGGCTTGTGGGTAGAAGCTGTTAAGGAGCCTTTTGGACCTAGACTTGGCGCTCCGGTACCGCTTTCCATGCAGTAGCAGAGAGAACAGTCTATGACTAGGGTGGCTGGAGTCTTTGACAATTTTTAGGGCTTTCCTCTGACACCGCCTGGTATAGAGGTCCTGGATGGCAGGAAGCTTGGCCCCAGTGATGTACTGGGCCGTACGCACTACCCTCTGTAGCGCCTTGTGGTCGGATGCCGAGCAGTTGCCATACCAGGCGGTTATGCAACCAATCAGGATGCTCTCAATGGTGCAGCTGTATAACTTTTTGAGGATCTGAGGACCAATCTTCCCTCAAATTTTTTTGCAACTGAGCAAATTTCAGGTCTGCTGAGCGCAAACTTGAATGTTGTACAAATTCTGTACAACTTCCAGCGCCCGTTTACTGTGAACACTGAGGCTGTATCCGCTTTAAGTTAGTTTTAACAGTGGCCAAGTAGGCCACTGTGGCTATTGGATCATAATGTAGGCCTACCAGAGTGGCCTACCATCAAAAACAATGGAGAACATGCATCCCGTAACATTTTAACGTGGATATAGCTGTTCTATCATTCAGCCTACAGTAGCAGCCAATGTGTGGTGTTCAATGTAGGCCTACATTCCATGAGACTTTTGAAAACAACATGCAGGGCTTGACATTAACCTGTTTATCCACTAGTCCTTCAGACAAGGAGGTGACTGAACATGTTTTTGTTTGCAAGAAACCACTTTACAAAATAAAATGCATTATTATCCCCCATACCATTATTACAGAGAATCAGACATTATGCTACCATCTGCCTATTGGATACTTAGCTTATTCAAGCCTGTCTCAAAATACAACACTGCCCCTTTAAGACAAAAAAAAGCTCTTTGTTTGACTTGCTTTTAAAATATGTCTAGAAATGTACACGTTTGTGCTCTTGTAGTCAGCTCTTGCTGACTACAAATGATCTATAACTAGGCTAATAACTCACTATCAAAGGATCTGAACAAAATGTGCACACGTGGCTGCATGCAGCTCTTGCTTTGATCTCAAAACAAGCACATCTACTTTTTAGGCTATGTCTCCCAACCCTAGAAGAAAGTTGTATTAACGCAACTGCAGAGAGGTGTAGGTGGGCCTGGGGAGGTCTAGCTGTTAGGCCGCCGCCTTCAGAGCTCAAATAACGTGTTGCTGTGGACTCTAATCTGGCCCACGCCATTTTGACACAAACCCTCTTTCAACTTTCCTGTCTTTCTCTCACTGTCTGAGGTATAAAGGTTTGTGACCTGTGATGCATTTCCTGTTTCAGAGCTGCTGCTGGATGACTTCCTGTTGACGTACCTGGTGTTCATGACGACCAACGACCTCTGTCAGGCCCTGCTCGGACAATATCCTTTACACACTGCTTGTGTGTCTATCTGTCTGTCTGTATGTGTTTCTGTGTAGTGTGTATTGTCCTTAACGTTTCCCACCTACAGCAGTAAGCGTGTGCATGGTCAGGGTCAGGAGGAGGGGAAGGAGGCCCTCTATAGGAAGAGGAAGGTATTACACCTAGTTGCTCACTGGACACGCCTATATAAGGACTTCCTACGAGAGGACGAACACATCAAGGCATTCATGAAGGTAGGAGGACACACACACACACACACACACAGGTTTGATAACTAGAGTGTGTGAGGGTTGTCATGGGGATTATCTAGTGTAAACCAGGTAATAGCTGCCTAGTAACAGGAAGGAAAGGGGATATATTTTGCGTGACAGCGATAACTTAAGTGTGTGTGTGTGTTTGTGAATTTGCAGCTATGTTTTCTCCCCAGCACATGTCAGCACATATATTTAGGTTTAAGTATTGTAAATGTATCTCTCAAGTGTCTGTTAGAGGTGTTTGTTAATGTGTGTGTGTGTGTGTGTGTGTGTGTGTGTGTGTGTCAGACTCTCTCCAGGTGTGTGTTAGAGGATCTTTATGAGTTTCCGTCTCTGGAGAAAGACATGAAGGAGTTCCAGAAGCTTCTACGACGCAGACAGTGAGTGTGTGTGTGTGTGTGTACAGCACAAGGATGCCGTTGTTTATGAGACATGAGCACAGCCTAGGGTTTGTCTGTGGGAGGATGGGGGGGGGGGGGGGGGAGGAAGCTTCAATGGTCAAGTCAATCTTTATTTATGTACAAGCAAATATGGAGTTGTTTGTTTATTTGTTTCTTTGTTTGATTTTGTTTCAGCACAGTGGATGAATGTCCTCCACAACAGAAGGTGAGAGGGATGGAAGAAGGGTAACGGGAGAGAGAGAAGATGGGGGAGAGATAATTGGTAGATGAAAATGATCTGTCACTGCCAAGTTAAAGGGATACTTTGAGATTTTGGCAATCCTTTATCTACTTCCCCAGATTCAGATGAACTCATGGATTGCATTGTTATGTCTCTGCATCCAGTATGAAGGAAGTTAGAGTTAGTTTCGCAAGCAAACTCGAAGGCTGTGGTATCTACTAGCATGCTAGCAGTTACCATAGATTCCCCCAGTCATTGCGCTGACGCTAGTTAGCAACTTCCTTCAAACTGCACGCAGAGACACTCTGAGGAAGTAGATACATGGCTTCATTGCCAAAATCCTAAAGTATCCTTTTTATAATCTAATGGTTTATGTCCCACTGTCCCCTTCTCCCTCTCTCTCTTTCTCCATCTCTCTCTATCCCCCTCTCTGCGGCAGAGCGCCGCGAGGCCCGCGCGCTGGGCCACCAGCGCGGCGGCCCGCAGCCGGCGGCCAGCGCGCGCGGGAGCCAGCCGGGAGCCAGGGCGACGCGGGAGCGCGGAACGGGGGGAGGGCGGGAGAAAAGGCGCGAGAGGAGCGAGGGCAGGGAGGGGGGACGGAGCGGGGAAAGCGGGGAGCGAGGGGGGCGAGAGGAGCGGGAGCCCAGAGCGCGCGCGGCGGGGAGAACCCCGGGGGAGCGGAGGAGAACGCGAGCGGAGCCGGGGGAGGAGAAGGGGGGGCCAGCGGCCCGGGGCGCAGCGAGCGGAGCCCAGCGCGGGCGCCAGAGGCGGGAGGCGCGCGCGGGCGCAAGGGGAGCGCGAAAACAGGGGAGAAGAGGGCCGAGCACGGAGAGCGGGGGGCGGCGCGAGGCGGGCGCGGCGGAGGGGGCGAGCGCGGGAGCGGGGAGGGGGAGGGAGAGAGGAGGGGCGGCGAAGGAAGAAGCACCGCGCGAGAAAGGGGACGGGGGGGAGCAGCGCGGAGGAGGGGAGCCCGCGGCGCGCGCCGCGAGCGAAAGCAGGCGGAGGGCGAGGAGGGCGCGGAGCGGGCCCGAGCGGCGCGCGCGGCGGCGAGCGCGCGCGCGCGCGGCCGAAGCACGCGCGCGGGCGGAGCCAAGCGCGCGCGCGCAGCGCGGGCGAGCAGAGGCCGGGCGAGAGGGCGAGCGCGGGGGAAAGCCGAGGGAAAAAGCGCGCGAGAGGAGCGAGGGGCGGAGGGAGAGCAGAAGAAGGAGGCGAGGAGGAGACGACGAAAGAGCGAGAGGAGCGAGAGGAGAAGCCAGCGGAAACGAGGCGGGAAAAGGGGGGGGCGAAACCGGAAGGCGACGACACCGAGGGAGCCCGCCGCGGGCCAGAAAGCCCCGGGGGCAAGGCGAAGCCCCGTCGCACGCCCGCCGGGGAGCCCGGGGCCAGCAGCGGGCGGGCCCCGCGCGAGAGAACCCGCCCGCCAGCGGGGGCCACCCGCCCCGCGCTCCAGCCCCGCGGAGAGGACCTGAGGGCGGCAGCGAGGAGCGCGCTGCCGCGCGCGGCGAGCCGAGCCGGCGCGCCGCGAGGGGAGAAGGAGGGGCCCAGCGCGCGGAGCCCGCGCGCGCGCGACGCGTCGCAGCCCGCGCGCGCGGGGGCGAGCCGGCGCGGCGCGGCGCGAAGGAGACCGAGCGCGAGGGGGAGGGGCGCACGCGAAGCGAGAGCGGCGGGGGGCCGAGAAGGCGGAAGTCCGAAAGCGAGACGCGCGCGCGGGCAGCACAGGAGCGCACGCGAGGAACAGAGCAAGGCGAGACGCTAAGGCCAGAGAGGAGCCGAGCCGAGGGCAGATGGACGAGAGAAGCCCACGAGACGCGCGCAGAAGGAGAGACGGCGAGCGAAGACCGGCGAGCCAGAGGCGAAGCGCAGACGAGCGCAAGGAGCAGACCCGGGCGAGCGCGAAAGATGCGGGAGCGAGAGCCCGCGCGAGGGGCCAGCAGAGAGCGAGCAAAGCGAGGGAGAAGGCGAGCAGAGAGAAGAAGAGAGAGAGGAGAGAGGGAGAGGGAGAAGAGGAGAGAGAGAGAGCGAAAGGTAGGGAGAGGAGAGAGATGCGAGCGAGAGAAAGAGAGCTCCGAGAGAAAGATGGAGTGGAGCCAAGAGCGGAGAGAATCGAGGAAGTAGGCGAGGCAATGGGTGGGCGGAGCAGATAGGAGGAAGCGAGCGAAGGACAGAGAGAAAGAAGACAGAAAGAAGGAGCAAAAGAAAGAGAGAGGGGGAGAGAAGAAAGAGAGAGAGAAGATAGGGGAGGAAAGAGAGAGAAAGAGGAGCAATTGGAGAGAGAGACGAAGAAGAGATGAGAAGAGAGAGAAGAAGAGAGGAAAAGAGAGGAAAAGAAAGAGGAGGAATATAGGTAGCGAAAGGGAAAAAGAGGGACGAGGAGCAAAGGAGAGAAAAGGAGAGAGAGAAGAGAGAGCAGAAATGAGAGAGAAAGGAGAGGAAGAGGAGGCCTCCCCACTGCATCCTCTCTATCCCCCCTTCTCCATCTCTACCCTCTTATCTTAAATCCTCTCAAAACCCCTATCTATCCCCTCTCTCAAACGCTCTTCTCTAATCCATTTTCTCTCTTCTTTCTCTCTATCTATATATATCTCTCTCTCTCTCTATCTATCCCTCTCTCTCCCCTCCCCTCTGTCTTCATCCCTCTCTCTCTCTCTGTCTGTCTCCAGAGTAAGCCTCTGTTCCAGCAGCTAAGTTTAAAGGAGAACAGTCTGCCACTCCGCTTCCCTCAGGCTGACACCAAGGAGGGTGAGAACACACACACACGTGATGCTGTGATTGTATGTGATTGATATGATTGAAGTGTCTAGCGGTGCCCAGCCCACATGGGCCTTCAAGACACTACTAAACACAGTACCATTTTCTTTGTAATCAAAACAAAATAACATTTTACAAATTATACGCATACAATAATCATGGCCTGTACAGCTACCGTCTAGCCACACTACACAACCAGCTACCGTCTAGCCACACTACACAACCAGCTACCGTCTAGCCACACTACACAACCAGCTACCATCTAGCCACACTACACAACCAGCTACCATCTAGCCACACTACACAAACAGTACATTTCTCCTTCTCCTCCAGGCATTGTGAACAAACTGAGCAATCTCAAACACGCCCTGTCTGAAACAAAATGCAAGCCTCTGCTCGTCCCGTAAGCAGAATACTTCAGGTTTATCAGCAACATTTTTCACAAAAGAACATCTCAGATCGCCATACAGAGGGCAATAAAACATTATGGATTTCCTTTTCGATTTGCCCAAGTTCACACAATAGGCAAATTCTCTCTTCAGGCAATCTGTTACATTTACCCGTCTCTGTAGCCAGATGGAGGGTGCCGGATCTGAGTGGTGCACAAACAAACCTTTGGTTTTTTGTTAGGTTCAGGCAGACATATGGTTCAGGGGTGTAGTTCTCTTTGATGAGATTTAGATTTAAACCAAATATCAGCTGCCCATTTTTTCTTCTTGTTTTGTCATTGAGTTGGTTGACACCATATGGTAATTTGTTCCTGAATATACACTGAGTATACCAAACATTAGGAGCACCTTCCTAATATTGAGTTGCACTCCCCCTTTAGCCCTCAGAACAGATTCAATTTGTCAGGGTGTTTCACAGGGATGCTGACTGATGTTGACTTTGGGTGGTGGACCATTCTTGATACACATGGGAAACTGTTGAGCATGAAAAACTCAGCAGCATTGCAGTTCTTGACACAAACCGGTGCGCCTTGCACCTACTGCCATACCCCGTTCAAAGGCACTTAAATATTTTGTCTTGCCCATTCACTGTCTGAATGGCACACCTTTCTAACAAAACACAGAGGGTGTTCTTTAATGGATGCCTCTCCAACATAATCCAGGTAGAATCAGGAATTCCCCAGGGCAGCTGTCTAGGCCCCTTACTTTTTTCAATCTTTACCAACAACATGAGTAAAGCCAGTGTGTCTGTATGCGGATGACTCAACACTATACACGTCAGCTACTACAGCGACTGAAATGACTTCAACACTTAACAAAGAGCTTCAGTTCGTTTCAGAATGGGTAGCAAGGAATAAGTTAGTCCTAAATATTTCAAAAACTAAAAGCATTGTATTTGGGACAAATCATTCACTAAACCCTAAACCTCAACTAAATATTGTAATAAATCATGTGGAAATTGAGCAAGTTGAGGTGACTAAACTGCTTGGAGTAACCATGGATTGTAAACTGTCTTGGTCAAAACATATTGATACAACAGTAGCTAAGATGGGGAGAAGTCTGTCCATAATAAAGCGCTGCTCTGCCTTTTAAACAGCAACAAGGCAGGTCCTACAGGCCCTAGTTTTGTCGCACCTGGACTACTGTTCAGTCATGTGGTCAGGTGCCACAAAGAGGGAATTAGGAAAATTGCAACTGGCTCAGAACGGGGCAGCACGACTGGCCCTTGGATGTACACAGAGAGCTAATATTAATAAAATGCATGTCAATCTCTCCTGGCTCAAACGAGAGGATAGATTGACTTCATCACTACTTTTATTTGTGAGAGGTATAGACATGCTGAATGCGTCTGTTTGAACTACTGGCACACAGCACGGACGCCCATGCATACCCCACAAGACATGCCACCAGAGGTCTCTTCACAGTCCCCAAGTACAGAACAGACTATGGGAGGTGCACAGTACTACATAGAGCCATGACTACATGGAACTCTATTCCACATCAAGTAACTCATGCAAGCAGTAAAATTAGATTGAAAAAAAAACAGATAAAAAATACACCTTCTGGAACAGCGGGGACTGTGAAGAGACACAAACACAGGCACAGACATGCATACACACACACACAATAACATATGCACTATACACACATACACATGGATCTTGTGTTGTAGATATGTGGTAGTAGAGTAGGGGCCTGAGGGCACACACTTAATGTGTTGTGAAATGTGTTGTGAATGTATTGTAATGTTTTTAAAAATTATATAACTACCTTCATTCTGCTGGACCCCAGGAAGAGTAGCTGCTGCCTTTCCAGCAGCTAATGGCGATCCATAATAAATAAAATGCAATATATATATATATATATATATATATATATATATATATATATATATATATACAATCCATGTCTCAAGGCATAAAAATCTACACAGATTGAAGTGGATTTAGCAAGTGACATCAATTAGGGATCCTAGCTTTCACCTGGATTCACCAGGTCAGTCTGTCATGGAAAAAGCAGGTGTTCTTAATGTTTTGTATACTCAGTGTATACTGCAAATCAGTTTCACAAAAAATGGATAACAGTTCTCCATCCCACAGATAGTTATGAGTAAGGTCCCAGTCAACACTTTTTTTAGTGATTCTGTGTTCTGGCATATTTATCATTATCTGTATTTATTATCTTTATTTATTATTTGTCTGTTCTATAGACGTATCATGTCCCCTATAATAATAATAATAATAATAATAATAATATGCCATTTAGCAGACGCTTTTATCCAAAGCGACTTACAGTCATGCGTGCATACAATAGAGCACGGCGCTGGTAGAGCACGGCGCTTGTAACGCCAAGGTAGTGGGTTCGATCCCCGGGACCACCCATACACAAAAATGTATGCACGCATGACTGTAAGTCGCTTTGGATAAAAGCGTCTGCTAAATGGCATATTATTATTATATTATATTATTATTATATTATTACAATTTTTTTTTTTTGTGTATGGGTGGTCCCGGTGATCGAACCCACTACCTTAGCGTTCCAAGCGCCGTGCTCTACCAGCTGAGCTACAGAGGACCCCTTTTTGCATAACTACACATGGTTCCCAACCCATATCTCCACAGATGGCCAGATCTGGGGTCAGTTTGATACCATTCTACTCATTATGCTCCAGCCATTACCACAAGCCCGTCCTCCCCAATTAAGGTGCCACCAACCTCCTGTGGTGCACACCAAGAAAGCAGCGGATTGCTCGGTTTATAACATTGTTACAATTAGTACGTACTTTGGATCCCCATACCCCAGCATCATAGTCCATCACTGGACACACACAAGATTTATACAGCTGAGAATAAGCACAGTAACCAAGATCCTTACATATTTTCATTTTGTTTAACACTGACCCCAAAGCTTTACCGGCAGAATCTGCTAGTGATCTTATGCCATCTTCAAAGGGCATGTGTTCATCCAGAGTGAAACCAAGGTATTTATAGAGCCCAGTGTAGAATAATGGGGTTGGACCAAAACAAAGTTGTGTGCACTTCTCTGCATGCCCTTCTTTCTGAAATCAACAATCTGGGTCTTCTCTTAATTTATCGCTAGTCTCCATTTAGTACACCATAAATTAACAATATTCAACATATTCTGGAGGTCATCTTCTGTCTCGGCAAGGAGAACTGCACTACATGACCAAAAGTATGTGGAAGCCTTCTCGTCGAACATCTCATTCCAAAATCATGGGCATTAATATGGAGTTGGTCCCCCATTTGCTGCTATAACAGCCTTCACTCTTCTGGGAAGGCTTTCCACTAGATGTTGGAACATTGCTGTGGGGACTTGCTTCCTTTCAGCCACGAGCATTAGTGAGGTTGGGCACTGATGTTGGGCAATTAGGCCTGGCTCACAGTTGGCGTGCCAATTCATCTTAAAGGTGTTCAGTGGGGTTGAGGTCAGGGCTCTGTGCAGGCCAGTCAAGTTCTTACACACCGATCTCGGCAAACCATTGCTGTATGGACCTTGTTTTGTGCACGGAGCATTGTCATGCTGAAACAGGAAAGGGCCTTCCCCAAACTGTTGCCACAAAGTTGGAAGCATAGAATCGTCTAGAATGTCATTGTATGCTGTAGCGTTAAAGATTTCCCTTCATTGGAACTAAGGAGCCTTGCCCGAACCATGAAAACCAGCCCCAGACTATTATTCCTCCTCCACCAAACTTTACAGTTGGCACTATGCATTGGGGCAGGTAGCGTTCTTCTGGAATCCGCGAAACCCAGATTCGGCCGTCGGACTGCCAGATGGTGAAGCGTGATTCATCACTCCAGAGAACGCGTTTCCACTGCTACAGAGTCCAATGGTGGCGAGCTTTACACCACTCCAGCCGACACTTGACATTGAGAATGGTGATCTTAGGCTTGTGTGCGGCTGCTCGACCATGGAAACCCATTTCATGAAGCTCCCGAAGAACAGTTATTGTGCTGACGTTGCTTCCAGAGGCAGTTTGGAACTTGGTAGTGAGTATTGCAACCGAGGACAGGCGATTTTACGCGCTTCAGCACTTGGCGTTCCCGTTCTATGAGCTTGTGTGGCCTACCACTTTGCGGCTGAGCCGTTGTTGTCCTAGACGTTTCCACTTCACAATAACAGCACTTACAGTTGACCGGGGCAGCTCTAGCAGGGCAGAAATGTGACGAACTGACTTGTTGGAAAGGTGGCATCCTATGACGGTGCCATGTTGAAAGTCACTGAGCTCTTCTGTAAGGCCATTCTACTGCCAATGTTTGTCTATGGAGATTGCATGGCGGTGTGCTTGATTTTATACACCTGTCAGCAACGGGATGAAATAGCCGAATGCACTAATTTGAAGGGGTGTCCACATACTTTTGTAAATATAGTGTATGTTATCAGCATACAACAAGATGCCCAGGAATATATCCACAACTTCAACACCAAATTTAGCATGTTTGATTTGTAGGGCTAAATCATTAACATATAGTGCAAATAAAGTGGATGAGCGTAGGTCTCCCTGCGTTACACTGTAAGGGGTTGGAAACCAGCCAGTCCTGAGGTCATTGACCTGAACACAGGCAACTGGAGCCCGATCGAGAGCTTTGATGGAATCATAGAATCTTCCATCAATTCCCATTTTAATTAGTCTAAAAGCAAGGAGGTCTCTATTCAACCAATCGAAAGCCTTCTGAAAATATGTTTTATGATGTGTTAACGCTATGTGTGTGTGTGTGTGTTTGTGTGTTCCAGTGCTGTGTCGTGTGTATGTGAGTGCTGACTCATACCTGTGTGTTTACACACACTCTTTGCTGAGCGTGGCAGAGCTGCTGAGGATTGTGGGTCAGAAGATGGACCGACCAGAGGAGGACATGGTGCTGGTGACACACACACCCACTGGAGGTACACACACACACACACACACACACACACACACACACACACACACACACACACACACACACACACACACACACACTGGAGGTACACACATACACACACACCCACTGGAGGTACAAACACACACACTGGAGGTACACAGACACACACACACTGGAGGTACACAGACACACACACACTGGAGGTACACAGACACACACACACTGGAGGTACACAGACACACACACACTGGAGGTACACAGACACACACACACTGGAGATAAACATATACACACACACTCCTTTACTGACGGCTTTTCACTCTCTCCACTTTTCTCTCTCCCTCTCCCCTTGTAGAGAGGAGGATGTTACAGGCTGGTCAGTATGTGTATTCTGAGACTCTGACACCGCAGAGCAAGCTGGTGGTCTGTCGGAGGGATCTCACACACATTATGGTAATTAACACCCAGATTACGGTTATGAATAATTTGATTATTTACTGATTTAGCTTACCTTGGGGTCGCTCGTAGGGGGTGGGGGGGGATGTTGCACTACTAAATCAAACTCAAGCAACAAACACTAACCTACTCCTAACATACTGTTGTGTGCGTGCGTGTGCAGGCCCCTCTAACAGACAGTGAGCTGAGTAGGAGAACAGTGAGGTTGTTGGGTATCAACACCTGGGATATGGCTGCTGTTCTCACACAACTGGACTGGAACCTCTTCAACTCCATGCACGAGGTAACACACACACACACACATACTGGAGGAACTTTAAAACACTCACATGCACTCACACATACACACTCAACTCTCTGTCTCTTCCCCCTGCAGCAGGAGTTGGTGTATTCCACAATGAGCTGTGGTACCGGAGGCAGCCACCGGGAGGGGCTATCTGTATTGCTGCAGCGCTGTAACGAGGTCCAGCAGTGGGTCATGTCTGAGGTCCTGATGTGTGTGTCACTCAACAAACGAGTCCAACTGCTCAAGAAGTTCATCAAGATCGCAGCGCAGTAAGTGAACACACACACTTTAGACAATCAATCAAACACACACACACAACTAATCCCTGTTTTGTGTTATGTAGCTGTAAGGCCCAAAGGAACCTGAACTCAGCGTTTGCCATCATCATGGGACTCAACACAGCAGCCGTCAGCAGACTCAATATAACCATGGGGGAAGGGAGAGTGAGTGTGAGGTGGAGTGGTGAGTGTGAGTGGAGTGGATGGAGGTGGTGTGAGTGTGAGTGGGAGTGGGACGTGTGAGTGTGGAGTGTGAGTGGAGGGAGGTGAGTGAGTGTGGTGTGAGTGGGTGTGGTAGTGGAGTGGAGGGGAGTGGAGTGGAGTGTGGGGTGTGGTGTGAGTGGGTGAGTGTGAGGGTGAGTGGGGAGGTGGGAGTGTGGTGTGGTGGAGTGTGAGTGTGAGGTGGGGAGTGGAGTGTGAGTGGTGAGGGTAGGTGAGTGGTGTGGGTGGGGAGGTGGTGTGAGTGTGTGAGGGAGTGTGAGTGGTGGGTGTGAGTGTGGTGAGTGTGGTGTGAGTGTGAGTGGTGGAGTGTGGAGTGTGGGTGAGGTGAGTGTGCGGTGAGGTGAGTGGGTGTGAGTGTGCGTGTGGTGTGAGTGTGAGTGTGAGTGGAGTGTGAGTGGTGGTGAGTGTGGTGTGAGTGGAGTGTGAGTGTGGAGGTGTGAGGTGAGTGTGAGGGTGGTTGCAGTGTGAGTGGAGTGTGAGTGTGCGGGTGAGTTGCGTGTGAGTGTGAGTGGTGAGTGTGCGTGTGAGTGTGAGTGTGAGTGTGAGTGTGCGTGTGTGTGAGTGTGCGTGTGAGTGTGCGTGTGCGTGTGAGTGGGTGTGCGTGTGCGTGGCGTGTGAGTGTCTGTGAGTGTGAGTGTGAGTGTGAGTGTGCGTGTGAACACTCTGACGGTGTGTATCTATTCCATATGTTTACTTTCAGAAAGTTCCGGGGAAATTCAAGAAGATCTTCTCTGAACTGGAGCTGATCACAGTAAGACTTATTATCATTGGTTTAAAGTAATATTCTTCCTGATTGATAGACTGGTGGAAAATAGCTAAGAGAAGGTCATTAATTAATTAATTAAAATATTCCAAGACTGTCGGCGTATCAGTTTCTAGGTTCACATCCACATTACCCTAAGCCTAACCTCTGACCCCTAACCTTACCCTGACTCCTAAACCTAACCTCTCCTCACTCTCTCCAGGACCCGTCTCTGAACCATAAGGCCTACAGAGATGCCTTCAAGAAGATGAAGCCTCCTAAGATCCCCTTTATGCCCCTGCTTTTGAAAGACATCACCTTTATCCACGAGGGAAACAAAACCTTTCATGACAACCTGGTCAACTTCCAGAAGCTGGTGAGTCATGACATGTCTGTTGTGTGTGTGAACGTTTGTCTGTCTGTGTTTAATAACCGTTATCATGGTGACTGACTCTCTTCTATGCCCCGCCCGCTCAGCATATGATCGCCGACACAGTGCGTCTGATTCGCCACTGCCAAAGCGACCAACTCGGTATGTTGTCTCTGTCTGTAATGTTGTTCTGTTCTGTCTGTCTGTCTGTTTCTGTGTCTATGTGTCTGTAATGTTGTTCTGTTCAGTCTATGTGTCTGTAATGTTGTTCTGTCTGTCTGTCTGTCTCTGTGTCTGTAATGTTGTTCTGTTCAGTCTCTGTCTGTCTGTGTCTGTAATGTTGTTCTGTTCAGTCTCTGTGTCTGTAATGTTGTTCTGTCAGTCTGTCTGTCTCTGTGTCTCTGTGTCTGTAATGTTGTTCTGTTCAGTCTCTGTCTGTCTCTGTCTGTCTGTGTCTGTAATGTTGTTCTGTTCAGTCTCTCTGTGTCTGTAATGTTGTTCTGTTCAGTCTCTGTGTCTAATGTTGTTCTGTCTGTCTCTGTGTCTATGTGTCTGTAATGTTGTTCTGTTCAGTCTCTGTCTGTCTGTCTAATGTTGTTCTGTTCAGTCTCTGCTGGTAAAGTCATGCAGTGCAGCTTCAGTGTTTTTGTCTGTGTGTGCGTGCATATATGATGTGTGTATAACTGTCTGTCTCCTAGGTAACGAGGTGGTGGGGAGCAACAGTGCAGAGGTCAGGGCGAGCGTTCACTACCTCCACATCATCGACAATCAACAGACACTGTTCCAACTGTCACACAAACTGGAGCCGCGCGCCTGAACCCACACACACACACACACACACACACACACACACACACACACACACACACACACACACACACACACACACACACACACACACACACACACACACACACACACACACACACACACACTCCTAGAGGAATCACAGACCTTCACACTTTGTGTCGAAGGTGCCATGCAAGCCACTGTCTCTTAGCCAATCACAGTTCAGCATCCTGATTCAGCCAGCCAACCACAGAGCAGCAAAGGGATTCAGCCAGCCAACTAACAGAGCAGCACACTGAGGCGGCATTCAGACTGAACATTTATATCCGTCAACCTGATTCAGATTGTTTTTCTATGAGGGTCAAAGTTTGACGGACTTCAAAGACTATGGAGAAGACAGACGGCCATTCGTTATTGTTCTGTCATGAATACTGTTTTTAAGCTACTCTACAGAGGAGTTTGTACAGTTACTGAGACTGTGTTGTTCTGTTTCTGGTTAACAGTTAGTTTCACTATTAATTATCCTCAGTAGGGTAAACAGTCAAGAGACTGCAGATAGTAACTGATAGTATATGAATGGAAATCATAGAGTAGACATACAGTAGATGTATACTGTATGTGTTCAGGCCACATGGTGAGATATGCCTCTGGATGACACAGTGCCAAATGCCCGGATGGGAGAGAGATGCCTCTGGATGACACAGTGCCAAATGCCCGGATGGGAGAGAGATGCCTCTGGATGACACAGTGCCAAATGCCCGGATGGGAGAGAGATGCCTCTGGATGACACAGTGCCAAATGCCCGGAGGGAGAGAGATGCCTCTGGATGACACAGTGCCAAATGCCCGGATGGGAGAGAGATGCCATATACACATAAACACACAACTTTTTTCATGTATCCATAGAAACCACAAAGCACTCATCATTTCTGGTCCTGTCATACGACAACAAAGGTCATACTATTACACATTGTTATTAGACGTTAATACCATGGTATTATAGAGATTATTATTACATTGTTATTACACTTTTACTGACTGAAGAGTGAGAGATCTGCTGTTTCAATGCCTGTTACACACAGATTTCACTAAGCAACCAGGCCTGGGTTCAAACCCGGTCAGTGCATTTGACACTGATCTAGTACATCACTGTTAAGGCCTGGTGTATTCACACTGACTGATCTAGTACATGCACATTTATCTACAGTACAGTGTTCAGGTGTGTAGGAGCAGGGCAGTAGTGCTATATAACTATTTATTGTAATATCTAGTTTATTTATGTTTCTCTACAGAATGTGACAGTCCTGTGTGCCATATCACACTGCAGCTGTATAAAGACAGAACTCTAAAGATTTGCAGGACAAATGTGTAAATACATTGAACTGTGTTTGAGCTGAAATGCTGGAATGTTTGAAACAGGAGACTAGGGAGTGGAGGTGGTCCAATGATTGTTACTGTCCTTTGTGATTTCAAAGAGAAAAAAGACGTGAAAATGAAAGACTGAGGTTTTGTTGTTGTTTTCCTGCCAATGTCATGATGATGGAAAGTTCTGTTTTAAAGAATGTTGTTGTGTTTGCATGACGTGACAACCCCACCAGATCACAATGTAAGATGACACTAAGGGTGTGTCCCAAATTGCATCCTATTTCCTATATAGTGCATTACTTTTGACCAGAACCCATGTGGCCCTGGTCAAACGTAGTGCGCTATATAGGGAACTCTGGTTAAGAGTAGTGCACTATATAAGCCAGGGAATAGTGTGCCATTTCAGATTTTCTCTAAGGCTTTATACTACTGTAATATTGTTGACTTGTAAATATGCATAATGTTATTATTGTTATGATGATGTTTGAGATGTTATTATTTATCTGTTTAAAGGTAGGACTACATTCCACAATATGTCATCATCATACACAGCGGGCGACTGCTTATAGCAACGTCAACAGAATTCAAATCTGCCACTATTGGCTCTGCAACTATTGGCTCTTTCCAAATTGCGCCCTCCCTCGAGGCATGCGTATATTGGTAAGAGCCGATAGTGGCAGTCTTGGGAGATTTGAATGATGTTGTTGTTGTTGTTTCTGTTGATCCGCTGTATATGATGTCATATAGCTGAGTGTACCTTTAAAGGAAAGAGAAAAGCAGAGCAATATGTCCCCCCCCCACCCCACAAATGCTGAAGACACACCTCTTTTCTAAAGAGCGTTTTACTACGTCAAAGTTTTACTGGAGATTATGAATAAATTATAGGTTTTATGTCATGTTAAACATTGTGTTGATGGTCACTGTCTCTGTGGATATTATCAGAGAGGAGGACGAGAGGATGGAGGGGGGGAGAAGTAGGAGAGAAATGAGAGGAGGGGGAGAAAATAAAATAAGGGGAGGAGAGAGGGAGGATGCTGAGGAAAGAAAATAATAAAATAACAAAACAGCTGTTTCTCATTTTCACTTCTCATTTAGCATGAGGTGACATCACCACCACCTCCCTGTGCATGCATTACAAACCCTGTAATTTATGTCAGTGGAAGACAAGTCTTTAGCTCAGCGGGCTAATTGGTGGGCGTGGAGAAGGGGGAGTGATGGGAGAGGGAGAGTACAGCTTCTGCAGGGGCCATTCAGAATGTGAAATAGGCTACGGATTTTTTTTTAAATAAAGACAATACCATCATGAGATAATAAACTCAGCAAAAAAAGAAATGTCCCTTTTTCAGGACCCTGTTTTTCAAAGATAATTCGTAAAAATCAAAATAACTTCACAGATCTTCATTGTAAAGGGTTTAAATACTGTTTCCCATGCGTGTTCAATGAACCATAAACAATTAATGAACATGCACCTGTGGAACGGTCATTAAAACACTAACAGCTTACAGACGGTAGGCAATTTAAGGTTACAGTTATGAAAACATAGGACACTAAACTACTGACTCTGAAAAACACCAAAAGAAAGATGCCCAGGGTCCCTGCTCATCTGCGTGAACGTGCCTTAGGCATGCTGCAAGGAGGCATGAGGACTGCAGATGTGGCCAGGGCAATAAATTACAATGTCCGTACTGTGAGACGCCTAAGACAGCGCTACAGGGAGACAGGACGAACAGCTGATTGTCCTCGCAGTGGCAGACCACGTGTAACAACACCTGCACAGGATCGGTACATCCGAACATCACACCTGCGGAACAGGTACAGGATGGCAACAACAACTGCCCGAGTTACATCAGGAACGCACAATCCCTCCATCAGTGCTCAGACTGTCTACAATAGGCTGAGAGAGGCTGGACTGAGGGCTTGTAGGCCTGTTGTAAGGCAGTTCCTCACCAGAAATCACCGGCAACAACGTCGCCTATGGGCACAAACCCACCGTCGCTGGACCAGACAGGACTGGCAAAAAGTGTTCTTCACTGACGAGTCGCGGTTTTGTCTCACCAGGGGTGATGGTCGGATTCGCGTTTATCGTCGAAGGAATGAAGTTACACCGAGGCCTGTACTCTGGAGCGGGATCGATTTGGAGGTGGAGGGTCCGTCATGGTCTGGGGCGGTGTGTCACAGCATCATCGGACTGAGCTTGTTGTCATTGCAGGCAATCTAAACGCTGTGCGTTACAGGGAAGACATCCTTCCTCAAGTGGTACCCTTCCTGCAGGCTCATCCTGACATGACCCTCCAGCATGACAATGCCACCAGCCATACTGCTCGTTATGTGCGTGATTTCCTGCAAGACATGAATGTCAGTGTTCTGCCATGGCCAGCGAAGAGCCCGGATCTCAATCCCATTGAGCACGTCTGGGACCTGTTGGATCGGAGGGTGAGGGCTAGGGCCATTCCCCACAGAAATGTCCGGGAGCTTGCAGGTGCCTTGGTGGCAAATCTGGTGCAGTCCATGAGGAGGAGATGAACTGCAGTACCTAATAAGCTGTAGACCACACAATATAAGCTGTAGACCACACTATTTAACAAGAGAGTTTTCATCTATATTTTTCGTAGCTGTCTATTTACCACCACAAAACGATGCAGGCACTAAGATTGCACTCAATGAGCTGTATAAGGCCATAAGTAAACAGGAAAACGCTCATCCAGAGGCAGCGCTCCTAGTGGCCGGGGACTTCAATGCAGGGAAACTTAAATCCGTTCTACCTAATTTCTACCAGCATGTTAAATGTGCAACCAGAGGGAAAAAAACTCCACATACAGAGATGCGTACAAAGCTCTCCCTCACCCTCCATTTGGCAAATCTGACCATAACTCTATCCTCCTGATTCCTGCTTATAAGCAAAAACTAAAGCAGGAAGCACCAGTGACTCGGCTAATAAGGAAGTGGTCAGATGACGCAGATGCTAAGTTACAGGACTGTTTTGCTAGCACAGACTGGAAAATGTTCTGGGATTCTTCAGATAGCATTGAGGAGTACACCACATCAGTCACTGGCTTCATCAATAAGTGCATCGATGACGTCGTCCCCACAGTGACCGTACGTACATACCCCAACCAGAAGCCATGGATTACAGGCAACATCCGCACTGAGCTAAAGGGTAGAGCTGCCGCCTTCAAGGAGCGGGACTCTAACCCGGACGCTTATAAGAAATCCCGCTATGCCCTCTGACGAGCCATCAAACAGGCAAAGAGTCAATACAGGACTAAGATTGAATTGTACTACACCGGCTCTGACACTCGTCAGATGTGGCAGGGCTTGAAAACTATTACAGACTACAAAGGGAAGCACAGCCGCGAGCTGCCTAGTGACACAAGCCTACCAGATGAGCTAAATCACTTCTATGCTCGCTTCGAGGCAAGCAACACTGAAGCATGCATGAGAGCATCAGCTGTTCCGGATGACTATGTGATCATGCTCTCTGTAGCCGATGTGAGTAAGACCTTTAAACAGGTCAACATTCACAAGGCCGCAGGGCCAGACGGATTACCAGGACGTGTACTCCGAGCATGCGCTGACCAACTGGCAAGTGTCTTCACTGACATTTTCAACATGTCCCTGACTGAGTCTGTAATACCAACATGTTTCAAGCAGACCACCATAGTCT